CCCTGTAGGGGCTCAAAGCTACAGCTAGAACAGCGCCACCTCGTGGTGCTTCTCGGGAGAGCTGCTGTAGAAACCCCTGGCGAAGTAGACAGGGCCACTTCTGCAGAGGACAGGAGAGGGTGTCACACTAGGCAGCAGCCAGCCCTCTTTGAATGTAAATGACGCACTCACTGCCACGGAGTCTATTCTCACTCACAGTGACTCTGTAGGGCAGATCAGAATTGCCCCTGTGGATTTCTGAGACTGTAACTCTTTAGCGAGAATAAAAAGCCCCGTCTTTCTCCCACAGAGTGATTGGTGGTTTTGAACTGCTGGCTGTTAGCAGCCCAAGATCATAGTCAAGACAACCATATGGGGACAGCTCTACTCTGTCACCTTTGAGAAGCAAGGGATCCCAGCAGGGGATCCCAGAAGATAGCAAGACCAGCAAGGGTCTTAAGCAAGCTGCAGAGTAAAAAAAAAAAGTGTGATTGGGCATGGAGGAGAAAACTTGGAGTTCCAGCCCAAAGCTCTCATCTCTCACCTCTCTCTGTCCCTCTCACTAAAGCTCAGATGCTTTGTCTTTGCTTTTCAGGGACACTTCATGGTTTGGCTCCCACACACCTTTCCAGAATTCCTCCGCTCCGCACCTCTGCACTCCCTGGTGCCTCCATGCTCTGAGAAAGCAATGTGTTTTCTTACCTCTCTCCACCCTTCTCCAAGCCCTGGAGTGCCCCTCTTTTCTGTATCCCCCCCTTCTTCCTTAGATGTCCCTTCCTCCATAAGGGCTCTTTGAATCCCCCTTGGCAGTGACCTTGCCTTCTTGGTAGGGCTTTTATGACCTGCAGTGCCCGTCCCTGGGTGGCTCTCTGTGCACCATACTGACTTCCCTCTTAGGCTTCCAGTTTCCATGGGCTCAGTGTGCCTTCATGAACTGACGAATAGATGGATACATGCACAGGCAGCTGAACTGGTAGATGGATGGATGGGTGGTTAATGGACATAGTTGGTTGGATAAATGGTGATAGATGAATGGTAGCTATTGGGTGGATGGTTATATAGATAGATGAATGAATGGCTGGATGATTTGTGTGTATATAGTTCTGTGTGTACAGATGGATGGATGAATGGATGGATAAGTGAATGGAAGTGTGTGGATGGATGCTTGGGTGGTCTTCATCTCTAAAAGAATTCACAACACACTATGTAGTATCAGGGGTTTTAAGGGAAGGAGCTGACCCGTGCCAGCAGGGCAGAAGAGGGAAGATCATCTACACTGAGCCTTCCTTCACTAACACATGCATGTTTGCCAGCTTGTCTCTTGAACCCTGGGGATATTTCCACTCCCTAGGAGACAAAGGTGGGCTAGTGGTTATGTGTGGGTCTGCAGATTGAAAGGTTAGTAGTTTGAAACCACCAGGTACTCCCCAGGAGAAAGATGGAATTTTCTACTCCTGTAAAGAGTTACCTCCTGTGAAACTCACAAGGGCAGTTCTCCTCTGTCCTATAGGGGCACTGTGAGTCGGCATTGACTCCTTAGCAGTGAGAGAGAGGAGACAAAGCCTTGAATAAATGTTCCTTTCTTTCTTTTAAAAATCATTTTATTGAGGGCTCTTACAGCTCTTATAACAATCCATACATCCATTGTGTCAAGCACATTAGTACATATGTTGCCATCATCCTTTTCAAAACATTTTCTTTCTACTTGAGCCCTTGGTATCAGCTAATTTTTTCACTCCCCCCACCCCCACCCTCTCACCCTCATGAACCCTTGATAAATCATAAATTATTATTATTTTCATATATTACACCATCCACTGTCTCCCTTCACCCATATTTCTGTTGTTCCTCCCCCTGGGTGTGGGGTGGGAGTGGGGGGGATTATAAGTTGATCAAATCATTGCAATTGGTTCCCCCTTTCTTCCCCCAACCTTCCCCCTACCCTCATAATATCGCAACTCCCATTATTGTTCCTGAGAGCTTTATCTGTCTTGGATTCTGTGTGTCGAGAGCTCTTATCTGTACCAGTGTGCATGCTCTGGTGCAGCGGATTTGTAAAGTAGAACTGGGAGCATGATAATGGGGGGAGGGAAGCACTAAAGAACTCGAGGAAAGTTGTATATTTCATAGGTGCTATACTGCACCCTAGCTGGCTTGTCCCTTCTTTGTGACCCTTTTGTGAGAGAATGTCTAATTGTCTAAAAATGGGCTTTGGGTCTCCATTCCACCTCCCACCCCTGAGTTGTTCCTCTCTTCATACCTTCCTGGCCCCTGCTCATGCCTGCCTCCAGTAGTATGGGTTCTGCCTTCACAGTGATGACTGGGGATCTTCTCATCCACACCTCCGCCCCCGCTCTTAGACACCTGACTGTGAGCTTTCTGAAGGCGGGAAGCACCCAGCAGTCTCTTCCACTTCCCTAGGGTTCGTGCGGTGACATAAGTATCTAATGGAAGAACAAACAAATGAATAATGGAATGAAACGGACGCTTTCCCCCATAGACACACTTTGCACACTCGCTACATACTCATCTCTTCAGGTCCTTTCCTCCTCCTCCTCCCACTCACACACACTCATACTCTTGACCCACAATGTCTCTGAAGTCCCAGAATAGGTCCTGGGTCCTGGTTTCCTTTACCCATTTGTGGCTGATCTAAGGCAGTTCCAGGGCTCTCTTGAGAGTCTGAAAAAGGGAGGGTCCCCAGCTTCCTGTAAAGCCATCCTAACCCCGCCCAGTGTGGGGCAGGGGGGGTCTTACCTTGGGAAGAACCTAACAGTTGGGAGGGAGTAGGGTCCTGGACTGAGAGCTTCTGCCCCTACCTGACCACACCCTCCCGGGTCTGCTGGCCCTACTCCTGACCCCGTTAGGCTGTCCCAAGGTGGGGGGCGGAGTGGGCCATGTCTCAGGGCTGGCTGGCTGGCAGAGGCAGACAGATTTAGAAGTCATTTTCGCAGCAGGGAGCCTCCAACCTCCCACCCACAGGCCCTGCAGGCCAGTCTGAGATATGGCCAACCAGGACTTGGCCCCTAGACCAGCAGTAGCTCCTCCCTTTCTTCTCCCTCTCCCTTTCTCCCTGGCATATTTTGGCAGCTGGTTTTGAGCCCATTCATAGGCAAAGATGGGGAAAATCCTGGGGGTGAAGAGGAGGTTGCTATTACATGTGATCAGCCCTGGTGCTTCCAGGACAACATTCACTCATTCCAGGGCCTACTGGTCTCATTCCAGAGAGCTTCCCTCTCCCCTTGTCCTGGCTTCTGCTGCCAGCTCCTCCTCCTCCCTCCCTGCACCCCACATGGGGCCCTCTTGCTACACTCCCCACAGACACTTGTGAACCAGACCAAGGGAGACCTAGTCATTACACTCACTGCCATCAGCAACCTCCACTCATAGCCACCCGGAACCCTGAAAGAACATTGCCCCTGTGGGTTTCTGAGAGGCTAGGAAGCCTCATCTTTCTCCCTCAGAGCGGCTGGTGGTTTCGAACCACTGGAAGAGCTGACCTGACAGTGAGCTGCCCAATGAGTGCACATATCCCTTGCAATATGCCAGACATGGGTGTATGGGTTTTACATACTGACTAATCTTCCCAACAGCTCTATGACAAAAGCAGTCGCAATAACGTCCTCATATTGCTGAAGACACGGAGGCACAGTTATGTAATTTTCCCAAGGTCACACAGCTAGTGCAAAATAGAGTACCCCAGGTTCTCTGTTAACGGTAGCAACGTGCGTGGGCTCTTACAACTGACTCTGGGTGCTCATCCTCAAAAGGGCTCAGGCAGCATGGTGGAACCCTTACCCACAGGGCCAGTCCCTCCTCGGCTGTCACCTCTTCTGCCAGCTCCAGTGTCCCCTGGGTTGTAGCAAAGTCCAGGCTGATCCTCTCACCTCTGCCCAGGCCTTTCCCAACCTTCCTCAAAGCTTGAAGCCCATCCTCTTCTCAGGCCCAGAGGTCTAAGGCACAAACCCCTCAGCTGCACCATGCCCACCCGAGTCTAGCCTCAGCCCTAATCTCCTGCCTTCTTCTCTTCACCAGGTAAACTGCTGCTGAACCAAACCATGTGGACTCCCATGTGTGCCATCCCAAACACTATCTTACCTCGGATGCCACCTCCTCCATCCACAGAGACTGGCCCCATGTCAGGTGATCGGCTCCATCTCCTTCATTTGACTTTTAGAGTAAGGTACACTCCCTGTTCAACACTGCCATTATGTGTGTTTTCATCTTCAGCTCTTCCTTCGATCACAAACTCCCCTTGGCCATTGTCAGACAGGCCTCCCAGTCTCTGTCCTGGAGACCGGCCCAGCCTGGCAGCGGTGCTTACTAAGTGCTCAGGGGTTAGAACTGGGTTTCTAGGTGGAAGGGAAACCTTCAGGAACCTTTGGTGCCCGCCAAAGGTGGCCCCCACTTCCTCTACTTCCTCTAGCAAGAGCTAGCTAGCTACTCTTGCTTGGCAGTCTGGGTTTCCCACAGGTTCTGGGATGGGCCTTACTGGGGGCTCTCAGCCGGCTTTCCCCCACCCCTCCTACGTGAACCAAATCAGCCTGGGGTTCGGGTCCGTATGCGGCCTCTAGGCGGCAGGAACACCCCCCATCCCACCCCCACCGCCCAGAACCTCTCCCAGTGACGCGGACGTAATTGGAAAGTACTGGTCTGGGGGCGGGGCTGGAGCCCTGACTGCTGAGGTGGAGTTGGCGGGACTGGTGGGGGTGGGAGCCCCCGGAGACTGAGTCTGGGTGAAGCCCCAGCGCTGCCGCCTAGAGCGGCGGCTAAATATACCTGGGCTGAGTCAGCCCTTGCCCGGAATGGGGGGTGGGAGGTGGGGAGTGCGCCGGGGCAGGAGAAGAGCCGGCGAGGGTGGAGGGGATTTCGGAAGCGAGCGAAGTGCGAGCCGGAGCTGGGGGAGACAGGGGAGAGCAGAGAGTCCAGGTCCCCAGCGCGTGGGAAAAGAGCGGGGAGCGCTGGGGGAGGGGCGCTATAGGAAAGCGGGCGCTGAAAGGAAGCCGGCGCCAAGTCTGGAGCAAAGGGGAACTTAGATTTATTGAGCGCCTACTGTGTGCCTGGCACTGTGCTAGGCGCTTTACATACGTTATCTCATTAAGTCCTCACAACAACCCTGCGAGGTAGGTGTTTATAAACCCTCATCCGACAGATGAGGGAAACTGAGGCTCCAGGAGGTGAAGTGATCCAACCAAGGTCACATGGCTACCTAGTCAATGGCAGAGACAGAGGAGATGGCCGGGACTGGAGAGAAAAAGGTCTGGGTCCCAAGCTGCTAGGCGTGACTTAGCACACCGAGGGGTGCGCTCTCTAAGGCCTGCTCCGGACCCGCGTGGCTGACAGCCACCGGGCGCGGGACAGGTGCGCAGTAGGTCGGTGTCCATTGATTAACCGGCAATGCGGGCTCTGGGTGGGACGGGGTGGGGGGTCGGGACTAGCAACCGGGGAATCCGCGACCTGCGCGCGCCCCGCAGTGGCTATGATGAGTATCACACCCTCCAGGCTGCTTGGGACCAGCCTCCCGCTTCCTCCCCAGAGGGTTTCTGTAAGAGGCAGCAATAAGGGGGAATTGCCGAGTGCTCGCCGGTGGGTGAAAACAACCTGAAAAGTCGTGGCGGACTTTTCAAAGCATCAGTCAGGAACAGTGGGGAGGAGGGAAACGAGAAGGCCTAGAAGCTCCTAAGAGGTTTTCCTGGCTGCTCCCACCACCACAGGCCAGGGACCAAGCCAGAGCTGCCCGAGAGGGGAGCCCTCCCCTGGAGCCCTCGCCTGAAGCCCAGGGCCAGTCCACCCAGTCTCCTAGGCCTGCTTCCTCCTTGGCGCTCCGCTCCTGGAACGCTGGACCCAAACAACAATGCTGTGGCATTGACGCTCTGTGTCCTTAATGGAGGGAGAGCACAGGAGACCTGGAAAACCCTCCCAGAGACCCCCCAGGCTCGGTGCCCCACTCTCATCCTTGGCTTATGAAAAGAACCGTGAGACTGAAGAGTGCCCCAAGATGCTGACATGTCAGAGATCAGAGGATGGTCTGTTTTCCCATGCCAGGTGGCCTGGCAGAGGAAGTCAGTTGGGAATGGAAACCCAAGGGGTGGGGCCACCACAGTGTGTGTGCTCATAGCTGGTGTTGACTGGTTCGAAACTCCTTCCTTTCTCTCCTCCCAAGAGCCCCTGGGTCACCGGTCCCCAGCGCTCCAGGAGGTCTCAGTGCCAAACATCAAGTTCTCCCTGCGGTCCGTGGAGACTCTGCCCTCCTGTGACCGCCGCCATCTCTGCTCTCACCCACAGCAGACGCTGACAAGGCTTACCTGCTCAGCGCCACAGGAGCGGCCTCAGCCCCTACTGAAGACCCACCCCAAGGCATCCTGGCCTAAGTGCCCTGCCTGGGGCCGCCATTAAAGACTGCTGCTCACTCCCACATCTCCTGAAAAAATAAAGGAATGGGCAAGCAGCCCATGGTTTTTCACCTGGGAGCCTTCCACTTCAGGTCGGGGGCAAGGGTACAAGGTCAACAGAAGCAAAAAGGAAGACAGAAAAACAGGGTGGGTGGCCCAAGAACGGGTTGAAAGGAAAACTACAAGAAGGGGGTCTCACCGCCGCTCCCTATTTCCTTGCGGGCTCCTCTGGGTTGCCCCCATCCGGAGGAGGGCCTCCTCCTTTCGGCTTATGACACCTAGAATCTCCCGGATACCTTCTCTTAGCTCCACTCTCTTCATCCCCTCCCGGGGCGGCCCCGTGGAGCACCCAGCCCCAGGCGGGGTGTGCTCACTCCGCCAGGAGGTGCTGGAAGCCTCTGTGTCGCTCGCATCAGATGAGCCGCTGTGGACGCTAAGTTCCGCAGCTTCGTCCGAGTCAGAGTCTGGGGCGGTGTGGCGGCGGATGCGGGACACGGCTTCCCGAAGGGCCCCCGCGTAGGGTCCCGGGGTCCGTGCCCAGGTGCAACCCACGCGTCGTGCTGGTGGGACCGCGGTCATTTCCTCGAGGCCCTCGGCGCTGCCCCCGGCCCCCGAAGCCGCTGGGCCTACGGCTGCATGCTCTGG